CTGTTCACACCTGTTCACACCTGCACACACCTGTACACACCTGTTCACAGGTAACACTCACCTGGCACGAGTCCACGCCCCCTTGCGGTACCCCCGCACAGAACATGTTCACACCTGGGGCACACCTGGGCACACCTGGGCACTCACCTGGCAGGAGTTCAAGCCCCCCTGGGACACACCTGTTCACACCTGTTCACACCTTGGCACACCTGTTCACACCTGGGCACACCTGGGACACACCTGTTCACACCTGTTCACACCTGGGTCACACCTGGGTCACCCCTGGTTCACACCTGTTCACACCTGGGCACACCTGGGCACACCTGTTCACACCTGTACACACCTGTTCACACCTGTTCACACCTGGGCACAGGTAACACTCACCTGACACGAGTCCACGCCCCCCTGGGGCACCCCCGCACAGAACATGTTTGGGGTGACGGCGCCCCCGTACACACCTGTCACACCTGTTCACTCACCTGACACGAGTCCACGCCCCCCTGCGGTACCCCCGCACAGAACATGTTCACACCTGTACACACCTGTTCACACCTGCACTCACCTGACACGAGTCCACGCCCCCCTGGGGCACCCCCGCACAGAACATGTTTGGGGTGACGGCGCCCCCTGTACACACCTGTTCACACCTGTTCACACCTGTTCACACCTGTTCACACCTGTACACACCTGTTCACACCTGTTCACACCTGTACACACCTGTTCACACCTGTTCACACCTGCACTCACCTGACACGAGTCCACGCCCCCCTGGGGCACCCCCGCACAGAACATGTTTGGGGTGACGGCGCCCCCGTACACACCTGTACACACCTGTCACACCTGGGCACACCTGTCACACCTGTTCACACCTGTACACACCTGTTCACACCTGATCACACCTGTACACACCTGTTCACACCTGTCACAGGTAACGCTCACCTGACACGAGTCCACGCCCCCCTGGGGCACACCTGCACAGAACATGTTTGGGGTGACGGCGCCCCTGTACACACCTGTTCACACCTGTTCACACCTGTTCACACCTGCACTCACCTGACACGAGTCCACGCCCCCCTGCGGTACCCCCGCACAGAACATGTTTGGGGTGACGGCGCCCCCGTAGGCGCGCTGGCACTGCTGCATCCCGAACGTCTGCACCGACGCGCACTGCAGGTCACGCGGCAGCTTGGCTGCGAGGAAAGAAACATTTAAAAAATAAAAATTAAATAAAAACTGAAAATT